GAATATTTATTTATTATACTAATCTATATTCCTAAAGCTAGACTATTGATCTTCATATTCACCAACTCTCTCCTCAAAGCTGCTTCTCTCCTGAGTAATTAGGCCACATAGCATAGAACTTAAAAGCAAAGGCTTTTCAACTCTTCAATCGGATTTGGAATCCCACTCTACTGGTCACTAGCTATGTGATATTGGGCAAGTTGCTTTTACTCCACGTCCTATAGTTTCTTTATCTGAAAAACGTAAATAATATTATCATGTAGCATTGTTGTGATAATTAAATAAATACATAAAAATATTTTGAGCAGAGCCTGGTATAAATCGAGAGTTAAATAAATATTAAAAATAATGCTAATAAGCATCGCTATATCCCCACTATATCCCCTGTTTTGGCTAATAGCATCATGTTTACTCAGTTGCACAAACTAGATATCTGAAGGTCAGCTTTAAACCCCACCTTCTCATCATATATATGTCCTAAATAATTTGGGGACATAGTCCTCAGTCTACATATTTAGTGTTCTAGCTTTAGATTAAGTCTGTTCTCTAAACTGGACAATTTGACTGAGTCTCATAACTCTAATTCCATTTGCCCACATTCAGATCTGTTTTTCACATCTCTTATTATACCTTCCCCTGTCCACCACTCCCCATACCTAAATCTAATTGTGTTATTTCTTAAAAGACTTAAAATCTTCCACTATAAAGCCCGAATTTCTCATCATTTCACATCAATTACAATATGGAAGGTCACTGTCCTCTGAACCTGCTCTTCTACTTCACAGCTCACTGTTCTGCACTATTTTCCCCCATCCCCCACTTAGGGTGACTTTTCTTTTATTCTCTACTTTCCTTACCTTTCCACTGTGCTTAAGTCACTGCTTCCTCTTTGACCTTCTAGCACAATCATTCTTTAATGACAATAAGAGCAGCAATAATAGCTGACATTAATGTATAATTCTGTGTCTCTCACTATTACAGAGTCAGGTGTTACCTCATTTACTCCACAAAACAATCCCGTAATGTAGGTATTGTTGTCAACCTCATTTAACAGATAAGAAAACTGATGTAGAAAGGTTAAGTACTTGTCCAAGGCCACTTGGCTGGTGAGATATGGAGCACACTTTGAATTCATACAGAAAAATGAGAGCCAAAGCTACTAAGAATACTTCCTCCCATTACACCACTCAAACACAGCACATTGTATTATCATTAAAAAAAACTACATCTGTCTCTTCAAAAATACAATGCCTTCTTCATATTTGTACTTCCATTGTCTAATTCAGTACCAGTAACACAGAATGCACAATTAATAAAAGAACTAACGAACAAATGAATGAGAATGATGACATAAATAGCTAGTTTTCGATGGATTGCCTTTCCTACCTGGCGGATGTATATTATATAAATATTATTCTTTTATTAACAGCTATATTGAAATATAATTGTTATACAAAACACCGCACATGTTTAATGTATACATTTTGATGAATTTGAACATATGCATACACATGCGAAACTATCACTACAACCAAGGTAAAATGTCAACCTCATTGGAAGGAAAGCCTAGAAAAATAAAATTAAATTAAAGTTGCTGTTACAATTGCATTAATATTGATACAGATTTATGAAACCACAAGTAAATTGGATCATAGAAGAACTATGCTTGCCTTGATTTATCAGTTTTTCAAGTTCTGAAAACACTAGCATTATTGTTTATGCAGACCTCAAGACAACCTTTCATCGAATTGGGCTCCTTGAATCCTAAAGGCCTAATCTCTTTTTCCAAGGTTATCAGATATAACCACTGTAATAATTTTAAAAATTAGTATCAGTGAAGTTGTTTCAATTTTCCAAAGATAAAAATGTATATACTTTATTCCATCAATAAAGTATAGCTTCTGTACAATTTCTAAATCATCTCCTGGAGATATCACATAGTAGCCTCATTCAGCTGAGATACACGATGTGATTCCTGTCTAGACTTCTGTACTATAGTTCTCCGTGGTCAATGAGACCAGCCACATTCGTTGTTCTCTAAAAAGTTAAATTTACTGTTGTAATATGAATCTTCTTTCATTGAGCCTCTGACTGTCCAGAGGTTTCCAAACTTATGTTTATACATGTCAGTGCTTTTTTAAATAACTACATGAAACTGAAATCATCATAAGTTTTTATTACTATTTATTTATTTATTGTTTACTCACGTATTCTCCAAACTTATTCCTAGAAGGAAAGATAAAAGTCTTCTACAGGTTTTATATTTTATCTTGAGCTTAGGTACTTTATGTTTAATTTTCTAACTTTCAAATATATGAGTTTTTATTTTTTATTTGTTATTAACTTCTAATTTAATTGCATTGTATCAAAAAAAATTCTGCATAATATGAATTTTTGAACAAAATTTTGATATAAAAATTTTATGAAATAGTTTTCTATAAAACTCTAATTAGAAGAATAGATCATAAAAATAACTGAGAACGTACATGAAGATTCAGCTGCAAGGAATATCTACACATTGCTCTTTATAAGCACAAATTTTTTTTCTTTTTCTTAATTGATTGATTTTTTTTATGATGACATTGGTTAACGAAATCCAGTAAGTTTCATCTGTACACTTTAACAGTAAGGCATATATATATATTTACACTGCGTGTTCACCTCCTATAGTTAGATTTCTTTCTGTCATCACATATTTGACCCCCTTTATTTCACCTCCCTCCCTCTCCCCTCAGCCTCTATCCTGGTGTCCACTAGTCTATAGTCCATGTCCATGAGTCTGTTTGTTTGTCCTATTTGTTTGTTGGTATAAGCACAAAAATTGAGGAAAAATATTATCACATAAGTTATGAAAAAAAGCACAAAATAGATCACTCTGTACTTGTTAAAATTATGATTTGAAGAAACTTAATGACCTGGGAAGATGTTTTTTGTCGGAAGCCAGCCGACCAAGTCAAACCGGGTACCTCAATGGGGGAGCAGGGACTGAGAAAAAAAAGACAGGGTGCAGGAGGGAGAACAGATCTCACAACTGTCTCTCCGAGTTTATTTCTTCTCCTTCCTTTTATACATAATCTGTTCCTTTGTGTATCCCAAGATAACATAATTAAAGTAACATCCTGAAGATCAAGGTACAATCGACATGGCGGTCGTCTAAGCATGAGAACCGACGTGTTAGCAGGAGTAACACAATTAGACAGCTGACAATTATTAACACAAGTCCGGCAGCCAGTTTCCAAATATGAGTCTGCCAAGCGCCAGAGCTTGTTTTCCAGAGTCCAGCAGATAAAGCAGTCTCAGTGTTATAAGGCCGAGAGAAGTCCCAAACAGTTTCATTAAATCCTGTTACTAGGTACAAAGTGACATTCTCTTGATGACAACGATGCCACCATACTGAATCTTTTTGTACATGTCTCTTCGAGTGACAAAGTTCAAACGGAATTGTATCATTGTTGCTTACAGCTTCGCCATCAGGAGCCCCAAGCATAACAGCTCCTCCTTTCTTATGCTAAGGCTGCTCCGTGATATTCAAACACCCAGGTTGGGAAGTAGAATTGAATAGAAAACAAATAGGTAGTCCTATTGCTGATTGCTGTTCCATGGCTAATGGCAATCCTAAAAGTTTAGAGTTATTAGAAAAAACCTGGATCTGTGGCCCAGACCAAACAGTTGGATGTAGTACCGGAGGATCTGGGATGTAAGCCCAATGCACTGCAGCATAAGCTGTTGGATTAATCAGTATTCCCATCAGAAGAATAATCTCGATGTTCATTTTCGGCATGCTGCACTAGTCGTTCAGGCAACCAGCGTGCTCCGTCAGCTCCCTGCGGAAAAACACAAACATGCCCTCGCCCCCATATTAGTACAGGATCTGTTAATACTTGCTTAATAGATTTTCCTTGCAGTGCTGCAGCAATGGCTATTCCTTGGGTATAAGAGGGCCCAATGTCCGAGCAAAGTCGGATGTAATCTTTAAGATCCCCTTTCCTTTTAAAAGGTCTAATTGCGGCCTGACAAGCAGAATTAGCATTCTCATATGCTAATATTTTTACTAGAATAGTTTCGGCCTCGGGATCACTGATAAGCCGACCTGCTGCATTCAACAATCTATCAACAAAATCTTGAAAAGGCTCATCAGGTCCTTGCCTAATCTTAGATAATTCTTCAGTCTTTCTGTTACTACAAGGTAGGGATTTCCAAGCTTCTTTAGCTGCAGTATTGATCTGGGCATAAGCGCCAGCAGGATAAGTTAATTGGTTTACATTTTCTTTATATGGACCTTCACCAGCAAGCATATCGTAAGTAATTCCGTTATTGGCTCCCTTGTTTAATTTGGCAGTCCTTTCACAATGCTCTCTAAAAGAAGTATCCCATAATAAAAAAATCCCCACCAGGTAAGCAAGCTCTTGCCACAATTCTCCAATCCCAAGGCGTCAGGGCAGAAGCCGTAAGTCCTTCCACCTGAGCCAAGGTAAACGGAGCGGTAGCTCCATATTGAGCACAAGCCGTTTTCAATTCTTTTAATACCTTAAAAGGTAAAGGCTCATGTCCCCTGGTGCTTTGCCCTTGTTGATCATGCTGATCTATTACTGGAAAAGCCATTTTAAAATCTCCGATATTGTCTCCATTAGCTGCAGCTATTCTAAGCCCCTTCTGTAAGCCAGTCTCAGAATAAGGGACCTTAAGTGCAGGTATAAGTTGTCCTTCAGAATTTAAGCCCTTAAATTTCACTGGAGGAGGGTCCACACCAGCTATAACTGTGGGATGTAGAGGATGCGAAAAATCCTCTGGAGTCAGATTTTTACTCTGAGTGTCCATAGGAGGTAGTTGCAGCAGTTTATCGCCTCCCTGTTTCCTGTTTATTTGCACAGTAAGTTGCTTAAGTTGGCGCTCAAGCTGATCTATTTCTCTACGAATGTTATCTGGTACTGCGGGTTGGGCAACGCCTCCAATAGCTACAAGTGGAGCTGAATTTTCATCAGGCGAATAATATCTAGCGGCCTCCTCCCCATCATCAGTAAAAATGGAGTCGAAAGGAGGGGGAGGCATCAGAGGAGCAGAAGGCACAACCCGAGCAGCCTCAGATTCGTCATACTCATGAACACTTTCTGTTTTAAGTACAGGTGACATTTGTTCTTTAATCTGATCTCTTTCATGCCTAGGGTCTAAAGAATCTCTAATCAAAGTCCAAAGCCCAAAAGTATCTGCCGGAACCTTAGTAGGTCCGTGGTCATCATAGTAATCCCGTAACTTTTTACCCATTCTTAACCATGTCTCTAAATCAATTGTCCCTTCCTCAGGGAACCAGGGACAAACTTCTTCTATAAATTGCAAAAACTTCATTATGCTGAGCTGAGCTACTTTAGCTCCTCTAACTCTAAGCATATTCTTAAGCCTATGTACAAATAGCAGTCGACTATTTCCTTGGCCCATTATATTTTACAGTTTCTATTCTATATTTACAAAAACTCCTGCGTACTCACCTTCACCACCCACGGCTTCTTTGGCCAATCTCGAGTGCACTCTTCTTGCGGTGGGTCCTTGCTTTTTCCCCCCGTTTTCAGGTCCCTGTTCGGGCGCCACTCTGTCGGAAGCCAGCCGACCAAGTCAAACCGGGTACCTGAATGGGGGAGCGGGGACTGAGAAAAAAGAGAAGACAGACACGGTGCAGGAGGGAGAACAGATCTCACAACTGTCTCTCCGAGTTTATTTCTTATCCTTCTTTCAAACACAATCTGTTCCATCAAGGTACAATCGACACTCCCTTTGACACTCCCTTTGACACTCCCTTTGACACTCCCTTTGACACTCCCTTTGACACTCCCTTCGACACTCCCTTTGTCTATACTTAATCTTCTTCTTCCTGGAATTCCACAGAACCAGCCTTTTCTTTTTTATGCAAGCAGGCCTCCCGAGATAATCCATGCACTCTTTTGAATTTGGGGAGCTTTAGCTCCCTACAGTTTTTAAATTGAAAGTAATACATTATAAAACAGTAAATTTAGTATGTTCTTGTATATATAACTGGAGGCAAAATGTTAACATTGTTGTATGGTTAAGATTGGGAATAATTTTTATTTATTATACTAATTTATATTTCTAAAATTTCTAATATATTAGTTTTTTAAAAGACTTTTTAAACTCTTATATTAATATAAAATTTGCACAGAATGAAAAATTTTAAATCCTGTTTGATTTGGTTTACTCTGAATATTTAGGACAAAGTTAATGCATATAGAAACTTTCTTTGGCCCTAAGTAGGAACAGTTGAAATTTTGGGCTCAAAATGCATCACAGTTTTTGATATACTTAAAACACACAATACACATAAACTTTCTACTCTTGCTGCTGAAAATTCTTTTAAATAACCATGTATACCCAGCCTGGACTACCCGAGTTGACTCAGACTTTGAGTTACAACTAGATTTGCTTCAATAATGTCTAATGCCCTTAAAACCGAGGTAGACTTTTATTAACAGACATTATCTAGCAAACATTAATTGATGTTAAAACATAAAAATTTAGTAAAACAATGAAAAATTTTCACAAAGTTCTGTAGAAGTTATTTGCTAGGAGATTCCAATACAGTTTTGTTGACATCTGTTCTCATTCTGATTAATCTTATTTTGAGTGTGTATGTGCATCATTACTCTTCTGAGACTAAGTGGATTCAAATTTTATTACTTAATTAAACTATTTGATTTGTAAGTCAATGAAATTCAAAATAAAAAAATTATACCTATTTGATAATCAGTCTACATAACAAAATGTAGATGTATGTTGATCTGAAATAATAATAATAATATGCTTGTCAATACTCTAAATAACATAGAATTTCAGCTTTTAGAGTTCTTTGAACCATAAGATTATGAAATTTAAAAATTTTAGTCTTAAAAAATGTAAAATAAAATGATAATTTAGATGTAGAGAAATAAGGTAGCCTCATAAACTCTTATTTGGAGTTATACCCTATCTAGAGAAAAGAGATAAATTATAGCATTTTTTTGCAATGGAATGCCATGATTCATTGACACAAGAATATACTTTTGATTTATTATTAAGTAGTATATACAAAATGATCATATGATCTAGTTTTTAAAAATTCTGTATATGTGTGTATACATGTATGAACATAGATACATAGTTATCAGATGATTCTGAACAATGGAATCATTGGCAAGTTTATTTTCTCCTCTTTATTAATCTGTATTTTGTTATAATAAGTTATTTTTTACATAAACTGTCAGTCTAATTACATGGTGGTTTCATGTTGGAGTCGAAGAAACCTGATTCTCTCTTGTATGCACCAGAAAAATAAAAATAATTCCTTAGGCAAACAGGCAGAGCAAAATAATTAGGCCCAATCATAATTTCCCTTTGTCAAATATCTACTTAAAATAAATTGTATGACTATAAGTGTCATAAAGTATTATCTGTTTTATTTGGAGAGGCTCCGAATAGCATGTTTTACTTAGTATTATTTTGGTAAAATAGTCAATGCAATAGGCAAAGAAATAAAAAAAAGATATAACTATTAGAAAGGAAAAGATAAATATCATTATTGCAGATATAATTGCATATCTTAAAAACATACAAAAATAAACTGAAAAAGTTTTAAAACTTGTAATAGAGATCAGTAGATGGCTAATTACATATACAATAAAAATAATTGTTTAAATAGCCAGTAAGAAGCAAATAATTTCAAAACCCGGAATACCAGTGCTCTCAATGAGACTATGAGTTATCTGATATCATAAAACAAATAGATTTCCAATTTGAATAAGTGAGATTCAACTCATTTATTTTCAACTAAAGTCTTTGTCAAATTTAGGAAAGCAATATTAGATAGATCATAGGTAGGTAGGTAGGTAGATAGATAGATAGATAGATAGATAGATAGATAGAAGATAAGAGAGAGAGAGAGATAACAGATAGATGATAGATATAGGTAGATTGATCTAAAAGGGCATCAATATAAATATATAAATATTAACAGTGAATGTACTCTAGATTATGACATTTTAGATTTAGCTATATATTGATTAACAGAATTAACAAGGAGCCTAACTGGGTTTTCCAAACATTATGCCTTTGAGAAATATATTCCAAGCTTCAACCACTTGACTGAAACCATTTTGGGAATAAAATACATTCTTAGTAACAAACTTATAATAATAAAAAAAACTAACTGTCAACAACACAACACACAATCACCTCTTTGATTTTTAAATTTCTTTTGTACTAATGATATGCTTTTTTCCCCAAAGACGTTTTACAATATACAGTAGATAATATTAGTACACCAAGATTTTCTTTACTATGGCCATAATTAAATAGTAAATCGTACCAAAGTATAATAATCTCTGTGGCAAATAGCTAGCTGTTCACCAATCAAACAGAAGCAAAATATCTATATCTATATCTACATATGTATATACATATATATATAGTTGTTGATGTTTGTTGTTGTTGTTGTTGTTGTTGTTGTTGTTGCTGCCGCTTCTGGGGACACAGCTAGACTGCAGTTCTGAGCCCCTCTTGCAGTTGGATATGGACACATGATTGTTTTAGTACATGATCTTTAAGGAGAAGTAATGTGTACCACTTCCAAGATTGGCTCATATAAATCTCCCATGAGCAATCTGCCACGTTTTTTACCCTCACTTCTGGCTGCTGATCATGTCTCTGGTGACCTTGGAATCTATATTGTAAGATGGCAAAGTAACCATCAGTCTTCCCTGGATGTCTGTATGGAGAAAGGTCAGCTATCAACCTGAATAACATCCCAGCACTATTAGATGAAGAAGAAAAAGTATTTTTTTTTAAGGCGCTGAAATTTTGGTGTCTATAACGTTAGCCTACTCAGCACTAATACAGTCTCTACGTCTCCTATCATCAATCTTTTCCTCTAGCTTTCAACTTTCAATTTATGATTACTTGTAGTGTTACTCTCTGCCTTTTATTTGCTTTCCAGAAAACTTCCTGCCTTTAATCCCTGGCAATTTAGTTCTAAAAAATCTCACTTGTAATATAGCTAACAAAAATTGTTCAAAGTTTATAGAGTAATGTTCATATTTTCCCTCAGCTTCAAAGCTGACAAATTATTTTTTATATTCTTACTTTTATAAGAACATTCATATAGCTTAATGTAAGAAGACTAAATGCTTGTTTTTATATTAACATATTTTACTAAAACTTTGATTTGTAATTGTTTTTCCTGTTAGTATTCTTTAATTATTTGGTAATGAACATGATTTATTTATGTAATTTTTAATGAAAAAAGGGGAGAAAGCCTTGTTAAAGTAGATATTTATTCCCCTGTTCACTTAAAATTTTTAATTTAACTAAACTCGAGTTCAGGTATTTGCAAAAATTTCTATCATTTCCAATTTGGCTTTAATTTCTTAAAAATATCATGTGTACAGGCCTGTCATAGTCACAAACATTGACAAGACAGCATGCAACCAGAGGATGCTCTTCCTTTCTAATTTCCACCTTCAATTCTCTAACATCTTCCATATTAGGAACTGAAAAGCTATGCCCCACTTCAAAGCCTTCCATAAATAACTACTAAAACAATCTTCTGGCCTGTAGGGGCCAAACTTCTAAACTCTGATTTTCAAAAATCCCTGGATCATTCATGGTCTGTCCAACTCTACTGTTTGCCTCTCTGTGAACATTCCTTAATTCCTCAAACATATGTACTCAATATCTCCATTCATACAATTTTATTTTATGCTGTATATGATGCTTTCCAGAACAAGTCTTTTATCAGAGCAATCTTAATCTCTTCTGTGCTCCTTAAACTGTGAATTCCTTGAGATCAGCAACTGTGTCTTATTTTCTTTATATTTTCTATCTCTTTAGCACCATAGAATTAATACACATAATGTTTGATGAATTTAATGAATTTCATCAAGTTAAATAGATCAAATACCTAAATTTAGTCAATATTTCTGCTTCTAATCTTCTACTGAAATCCTGTTTTTATTACGACTCCAGGTAATAGGATTACTTCCTTCCAAGAATAAGATATGGATACTAGTGGCAAGAATACAGGAGTTCTGGAAGGAATAAATGGAAAGAAAGTTGTTTCTGAAATCACTAGTACAAATCGTTTTAGGAAAAAGAAAAATGAACAGCAGTTTTGGTGACATGAATTCTAGAATTTTTAGATTTAGCTACATATTGATTAATAGAATTGATAGGGAATCTAACCAGTTTTTCAAACATTATGCCTTTGAGAAATATATTCCAAGTTTCAAACCACTTGGCTGAAGCTGTTTTTGAAATAAAATATATTCTTAGTAACAAACTTAAAATATTAAAAAAATAACTG